TATTGCACCCAAGTGCAGCTGAATCTCCAGGGCTTTAAACTGGCTTCACAAAGTGGGATTTCAGGACTGTAGATTTGGAGTATTCCAAGTCCTAAAAAAAAAACCTTTGTAAGGAAAGACCCTGCTCTGCAGCCGTTACAGGGAGAACCTTCTCAAACCTCAAGGGTTTATCAGGTTCATTAAAATTCACTCTTGCTTGCAAACCCAGAAAGCTAAATTTAATTTAGCTGGCAAAATTAAGTTTTAAAAAGCTCCACTATACAAGTAAGAGCAACTGGAGGACAAAGGTGAGGGATTACACCCACTGCCTAGGGAGGTCTGCTTCCTCACATCAGCCAGGGAAAGGGTCATTGCAGTGACCTAAGGGATGTAGCCACTTCCCAGGCCAGGAGGATGAACTCCATTCATTGCCATTTTTGCCTAGTTCTTCACCAAAAAACATATCACTTTGGTCACAGAGGTAACACACAGTTATCCAGCTGCTCTGAATTACCAAAGATCCTTTCTCTTCTTCCTCTTCTACAGCATTGTGACCCTGCATTATAAGGAATATTTAGGGCAAACCCCTCAATGAACAGTGCTCATAAAAGTAGGAAAATATTATAGATTTTTAAGTCATGTGGGACCAACTTAGGTTGATCTACACAACAAAAATGACTCTAGGACACAACTAAAATGATCTACTTAGGTTGATCTACACAACAAAAATGATCCACTACAAAAGGCATTGCTGGGAAGGCTGCAGCAAATGGTGCTTGCTTTCATTTAGGACATCTATGCTACCATGTAAACCCAGGACTTTCATAACAAGAAGTATTTCCTAGTGGGTCTTAAAAGTATGACGTGGAAGTTCAAGCAGATAGCTGGAGATAGTAAGACATTTCCTCAACAAATAACTTCTGAGTAATTGAGGCATTTCATTTTAACCCTGGCTGCTCCAAGCTTCTCTGGGGTTTACTGCAGTGATAAGATCTTCCATCTGATTTCTGAGGGGAATGCAAGCAGGACCAGTTCCTCTGCTTGTAAGAAATTTGCCTCCCTGGAGCCATGCCAATTTATATTTGATAATGGTATGGCCCTAATTTCTTCAGTAGAATGGTATTTTTCCATTCCTGATGCTCCCCCAGCTTGGCCTTCCAGGTTTGCACAAAATTAATTGTCACCAGATGCTAAAAATAAGTTCTGAGTTCTCATCTTTCTACCTGAGCCTTTGCATTTCCTTGAGGACACCTGAAAGATTTCTGCTTCAAGGAGATGAGTGGCTCAGGGAGTCGTGCTGCTCTGATCTGTGCACAGAGGGGACCCTCTTCCAGGGAGCCTGTTCCTCTGCTGAGTGGATGTAGGCTGGGGCTAACCTCCATCACACTGGTCCTTTTTAATTTGCAGACCTCTTCCAGAGATTGATAACCTGGACGTGGAAAGGGATTTCATCAGGAAAAGAGGAGGAGAAACCCTGAAAATAAATTCTGAAGCTATGTCAGTAGGTGTGTAGATATCATGAGCAGTAGTGGATACCCCTTGTGGCAACAACAAAGGACAGAGCTACTTCTCCAGGAAACCAAAGGCTTATCAAAGGATTCCAGATCTGCACAACAGCACCAGGCACCCATGTGGCCTTTGTGCAGCAGATCCTGTGAGATGGGTCTCCTGCTTTGACATATATTCTGGGAAGACTTTGAGAGAGACCAATGTCCTAAGAGACATTTCACCTCCTGCTTCAGTGAGGAGTTTTCTCCTGGATAAATGGGAAACTCCTCCCTTTTATCTCCAGCCTTATGACATACATAGAGTTCAGCAGTGACCAAGAGTTATTTACCATGAGATGAAAGCTTCCAGTGCCAGACACTGCCCATGACCATCTGTTACTAATACCAGCCCCCAGAAAAACTACTTCTGAAGTTTGTAGTAGCTGCCCAGTAACCTCTTTGAAAAGATATTTTTTGTTTGTGTCAGTGCAACTCTCCAATGGACAGATGTTCATCTCAGAACATCTGCTTCCCTTGTGGTTAACCCCTGCAGACAAGAAAAGGCTGAGCAGTAGAGGTGGTTATAGTTCCTGCCAGAGCAGGTCTGAAGAATGGTGACTGGGCAGAAGAAAAAGCTTTCCCATTGTTTCTCATTCCACCTTGTCCTCACTTCCATAGTATTTATAAATTCTGCACCTCTGTTCTTCTCCATTTCTTAACTCTCAGCTCTCCACCACTCTCCCCAACCCTGATCACCTGTTTTATCAGCATTTTTTTCACCCTCACTGCATTCTCTTCCAGATAGCCCATACTCATGGAATGTTTTTAAAAGATGAATTCACAAAGGCATTATTCTTCTCCTCCTTCACCTCATGCCTCATGGTCCACACCCACCAGGATATCTGCAGGAAATTCCAAGCTAATAATACCTATGCAGAAAACTAGTGAGGATCTTCAAAATACTTTAAATTGGATTCTGTGCTTTATTTGTCTCTCACACCCCTCTTTATTTGTCTCTTATTTGGATTAGATTTTCTCTTGACTGCTGGATGCCTCTGTATCAAACCCTGTAATGTCTCTGTATGGAGCTGGGCAAGTGGCCTATGAATTTTATGGACCAGAGAGATGGAAGGCAGCAGAGTATGGAGCATCATCTCTGCTATGCCCACATCTGAGAATGTAAAGAAGGTCTGGACTTCAGATCCTGGAAGGTTCCATACATTGAATGGCCTTTTGGGACTTCAGGCTTCATCCTCCTCAAACCCTTTTTGGCTTCACAGAGCCCTGGAAAGCCATGGCTACAGGCAGGTTTTGTTCTCAGGGAGCCAAAATGTGTCTGGAGGCTCCAGAACTGCCCACAAGGCAACAGAGAGCAAGAAAATTGGCACTGTTGCTTAAATGAAGACAGAAGAATTCACACTGATTTCTTCTCTTAGGCTTCCTTCAGGGAACACTGTAATTACACTGAGGTTAAATTTGTTCATGATAACATCCTTTAAATCCACAGCAGCTCCCCTGACCTTGGGGGGGAGTCAATATGGATTTACACAAGTGTAGCAAGGATGAGATCTGATCCTAATTTAGAAGACACCTTTCAGCACAAGTGGAGCTGAGAGAGTTTATGGTCACATTAATTTTCTACTTTTGTTTGAGAGTCTTCTGAGTGTGGAGCAAACCCCAAAATTTTAAAATCTCTGAACACAGGCCATGTTATATCCCCTCATTGTGGCTGGTGAGTTCTACCACATCACATGATGGCTTTCAAGAGTAGCCTCCTGACAAAGAATGGTTAAAATTGTCCTCTTGGGAGCACTTTGAGAAGGTGATGAACTTTCTGTGATGAGCAGCTCTGTTGACATACTCCTGGCTGCTGTAAAATGAATTCCCTGAGCAGCAGTTTGCCACACTCTTCATCCAGGCAAGACTCCAAGAAGGTCATGCAGAGTTTTGCCTGTGAATTTATTGTTTAATGGCTGTGAATCTAAAAAGAAATAATTGCTAAGTTTAAACTGAAATTTTCATTGTGATCTGGGCCTTAATCTGGTGATCTTCAAAAACTGGTGTTTTTTCTGCTGGCAGTTTTGATGCTTTAGAATGTGAATGAGGCAGCAGCACTTTCTTATCAAATTTGGAAGAATATTTTGTAGCCCCTGCAAGTGGCTTGTGTGCCATGAAGTAGAATATTTCTTTTTCCCTGCTATCCAACATGTCCTGCTGTCTGCAATGTGTCCATTTTCTGTCTTAAGGGGAAAAAGAAAAGCCACAGCTGCTGATTGCTCTGGGAGAGTTACCTGTCTAAAGATTTTACTTTATTAAAATATTGATTGTATGATGGAGAAAGACATCCTGTTGTTCCTAAGCTCTGCTTTTACTGTGGCACCAGAAACCTTCCAGGTTTTGTGCATTGTTCTGTTGCTTTAAGGGATAAAACCACTCCTGAGTAGGTCAGCACCAAGTTTGCACAACTGATCCCCCTCCTGTAAGTGTTAAAAATCAGATTCCTGGGAAGGAAAGACAGAAGGGTAAGATCTTTGCTGCCTCAATCTGATTTTATCTAAGATAACTCCCATATTCTGTCTTCTCCCTCACAAGCAGCATGAGGAGGATGTCAGCCCAAACACACTGAAGATGACATGCAGAATTTGAAACAAAATGAGGCACATCTGGGGAGGAAATTGCATTATAATAATTCAATTACATATTTCCAACAGCTTTCTGGAGCCCACGGCCTATCCATAGAGGAGGTGGATTTGGTAACTAACTCTAATGGTTACAGTCTAAATCCAGAGCTGCTGCAGTGACATCATCTCAGCCCCATGAATTCTGTGAAATCTTGCTGATATTTATTTTCCCCCTCAGCCTATTCAGAGTGGGTGATTAATAATGTTGTAACCTGAGCTTTTATGCCCCAGAGCATTTGTCATAGCAATTACTCCTCAAAGAGTATTCTCAGCTGAACAGTTTGATACAACAGGTGAGATTCAGATTTTCCAGTGGTTCACTCTACGTGTAGTTGCCCTGAATGACTTTAGGGCTCACCAGAAGCTTACAGGATCTAACTCAGGAAACAAAATTCAGCCCTTGTAACCTCTGTTAAAGCTCCCCAACTTTAGAGCTGTGAATCAGAACCACCCATGATACAAACTGGATACAGGGCTCAGATTCTCAATTCCAAATTTTCTCTCCAGGAGAGATTTCTAAGGAGTTTAGGCAGAAGAAGATAAAGAACAAAACCACCTACCAATGATACAGGTAGGGGGGGAACTCTTTACCCCCTGGCACTGCTGAGGACTGCTCTGGTGCAATCTGGGCTCAGACAGGAGGAGGAGGGGGACTGGTGACACCTGAGCAGGAGGGGCAATGAGCATTTAGGGAGGTGCTGAGGGGGTGGGTGGTTTCTAACCAGAGGGACCCTGTGGAAAGGGGCAGGTGTGTGGTAAAATTCAGGGAGGGAGTGGATGTGGGAGCTCCTCAGTGGGGACTGCCTCCCAGCATTGCTTTTCCTTCCTTGGCAGGGCTCTGGAAGGCTCCAGCATGTGCAGCTCTTGGGTTGTGTTGGCCTTTTGCTGCTTGGCTCAGCTGTGTGCAGGTAAGAGGCATCTGTTTGTGATCTTCCCTCCCCCTCTCCTTTTGTATCTCGTCCCTTTCTGTTTCTCTGATGGGTTTTTGGTTTGGTTTTGGTGTCAGCTGTGCTCTAGGAGCTGTGTTGGGAGGAGATTTTAGTGCTTTAAACTTGTATTCTGCTGGAAGATTGTTGAAGTGTCTCTACTGCAGCTAGGCTGGGAAGGAGGAGGAGCTGCTGAATCTCTCTGGTTTTAGTTCATCTTCCCCAGTGGGCTGGAGATGGGATGAGCTCATGTGGGGAGGGGGAGGTATCTGACAAATTGATTCTAATACTGTTGCTCTTTCCAGTGCCTCTCAGAGGCAGTTTTCTTTTCTGTAAGGCTTTGCTAAGTCTCAGACTCTGCAGGTTAACAAGTCTGGTCTTAAAAACCTTATAAAGGCTCCTTGCTGCTGAAGGATTCAGGAGCTGACTGTACTGCTCCTGGTGCTGCCCCTGGGGGGAGGAGGCTGTACCTGGGACCCCAAACACAGAGGTTCAGGCCTCCCCTGTGAGGCTTTGCCTTTGTTGGTGCTGTGACACGTATGTTTGAGGAGCAACATCACCTCCCTAAATCCTTGGGGGACCCGTTTTGCACTGAAGCAAAACCCACCCCTCCCAAACCTTCACAGGGAAGATGGGTCATTTCCTGCTCAGCTGCTTCTTGTGCCCCTCTCTTATGCTTTGATGTTGCTTGTGAGCACTGTCAGATCCTCCCTTTTGGGGCAGAGCTTGCAGGGGAGAGGAGAAAGATTTTTTTTCAAACATTTTTGGTATCTTTCTCTTCTAGGTCAGAGCCTGAAGCCTCAGCTTGCAGCCCCTCAGCTTGCCAAAACCAATCCCACTCTTACTACAGTCTCCCTAGAAAAGCCTTTCTGTAGGTTTGACAGCTCAATGTCTCCAAATAAATCTTATGTCATCTATCTGTATGCAATGAAGGAATCAGGTGAGCACCCAGCATTGCCCCTCCTGGGCAGGTAACTCCATGGGTCTGGGGAGGGGCAAGGAGAAAGATCTGGTGCTGGAAGCTCTATAGAAGCTCTGCCTCTGGTCTGTTTTCTCTGGGATGTTATTATAAATTACACTATCAATAACCACAGAATTTCAGTAGGGCTGAGGAATGACAGCAAGTGTTAGTACTGCACTCCCAAGAGGTGTGGAGCAGCACAGCTAGAAACCAGCTAGAAACCTTTGCCCAAACCTTGCTGATGAAACCAAGTGGTCTGTGATCCAATACCTTAACTCTGCCTAAACACAATTTCCTTGTATAAAAGCTTGAGCTGTGCTGAGAGAAGCTGGGTAACTGCTGCTGTTTGCTGCATAGTCAACCCTTGCAAGGACTCCTTTTAAATTTTTTGTGGACAAAGGCAAGTCTTAGAGTTGTGGGCAAAGATGCCTGGCCCATGGGTTCATTCCTAAAATGAGTTTCATACCTGCCTGGCAATGAAATGTTGGTGGTAGTGAGCAGGACCTGCCTCCCCTGTCCCCTGCTGTGCTGGCAGGCTGTCCTGAGTGCCAGCTAGGGCTGACAGGACTAAGTGACCTCCTTGCTTCACACCTTCTCCTCTGCAGGCTGGGGGCAGCCTCTTTTCCTGAGAGCAGCAGAGGAGGGACCTTAGGGGTGTTTAAAACAGACCATAAGAGCTTTATAATGATAGAAAAAGGACCTAGTTATACCTTCAAACATGCAATTATGATGTTTTGTGTTAGAGAGCACATCAGCCATCCTGTCCTCTGCAGCTTCTGTGGCAAAAGCTTCCCACACAGATGGAGAATCTCTACAAAAGGCAGAGATCTCTTTCATATATGGAGGAATCTCTTCTGCTGCTTTCAAGGCAAGCAGATGCAAACTTGTTGCTTGGCAGACTGTGAGGAATTTTGTTTGGATCTGTCTCTGGTCTGCAGAGAAACACGTTGGCTCACCCTCAGATGCCTCCTGGAGTAGGAAGAAGGAAATTTTAAGAGAATGAACACCTTATGGCCAGCTCTGCTGGTCAGGAGATGTGTCAGCATACTACAGAGCTGAAGGTCTAGCAGATTTCTGAGGAACTAATGTAACTTTTAGCTCTTTTCTTGTAAATATCACTGTAGGACTTGGTCAACCTAGTAAAGAACCCAAACAAACAAAAACACCCCCCTCAAAAGCACAAAACAAACTTGCTCAGGTATCAGCTCTTGCTTGCTCATGAGATCCAGGCTAAGAGTTATTGAAGTGGAGTCTGGGAGAGCAGGAAGACCTGGCTGTGAGATTTTTAATTCAAAATCTTAATGTGAAATTATAATCTGGGGAAGCCAGCCTAAGAATAGAGCATGTCTTAGCCAGTATTTGCCTTCATGTTATTGGCTCCCATTGGAGAGAGGGGTGTCAGAGCTCAGCTCACTCAAGCACTGACCCTTAAGCTGCTTTTCTAACCTGTACTAGAAACTTTTCCCTTTTAAAACAGGTTGAATTCTGCTAAAAACTTCTCACAGCCAAGGAATTGCAAGAACTCTGCTTGAGGAGCACAGCAGGATGCTTCCAAACTGAAGCAGTTCCCAATGTCCTGTGGCTTTGGGAAAACTCATTCCTTTGCTGCTGACAGCACTGAAGAGCTGGAGAGGCTCCCCAAAAAAAATCCAGCCTGCAGTTGTGTGTTGGGAGCATCTCTTGGACCTTGGCTTTGCAGCAGGAAATGTTTGCAGCTGAGCTTCCAGAATGTGCTGTAGGGCTGGGCACAGATTCCCATTCTGCTGGCAGAGGGCTGATTTGTGAGGACTCTCTGAGGCATGCTGGCTGGAAGTGGAGACACCACATCTCTTCATGCAGCTCCTGGTCTGCAGACAGTGTGGGTCTGGGAGGTCCACCTGCTGTGGGACCAGAGCCCTGAGAATTGCTGCTCCAGGAGATGGAGTTGTGGCTGTATCAGAGCTGCCTTGGCTGTGCTGGCAACTCTGGAACAGCAGGATCTACTGGGTGTGTGCCCTGGGGCAGGAGCAGCCAGGCTCCTCCATCAGAATCTCCTTGGAAAAGAGGAATTTGGGGAGGGTGGCTACTGAAAAGTATTGCTCTGAGATATGCTGTGGATCCTTCCTGGTTTCTGAGGGTCAAGTGTCAAGAGCCTCATCAACAAATAAGGAGAAAGAGGGAGGAATGCTACACAGCCAATCTGGCAGCTTTTCCCTTTGGAGTGTTTTGGGGTAGAGGAGCAAATGCCAGGGTGAAAATAAAGGGCTGAACTAGTTCTAACAGCCTTGTTCAAATCATCTCTCCTGCAGCAACTGCAATAAGCTCCCTGGTGACCACCAACAGCAGCAAACCCCTTGAAAACACCTTCCAGCAAACAGGTGGGGGGCAGCTCGGCCCTTACAAGGCTGCCTGGTTCAGTGTCCCCAGCTGTGCATCACCTCCCAAACTGGCTCATCTAGGAGATGTCAACAAAGTTTCTGATGTCCTGCAACAATACCTCTTCAGAGTTGGGGATGATGGGACTTGTTTGCACGACCCAAACTTCCTAGGTGTCTGTAACCCACCTCTTGCACCAGATACAACATACAGGTAGAATTTTGCATTCTTGGAAGGGGGGTTGCAGCTTTTCTAACACATCAGGGAACAACACTGGGTCTGTAATGTTCCTTTTTAATGGTGTGATGTGAATTGCCAGTCCTGCACTGAAGTGGTTTATTGAGAAGGTGGCTTTGCTGTGTTCTGGCAGCCTGCAGGTGGTGCTCTGTGCTGCTGCAGCAGTGGTGAGGTCATTCAGGTTAAATTCATGGATCAGTAGGAAAATTCATAGAATCATAGAATCCTTTAGGTTGGGAGAGACCTCCAAGGTCATCAAGTCCAACCATCAAGCCAACACTCCTAAGTCCTCTGCTAAAACAGATCAGAATCTGTCAGGGTTGGAAGGGAGCACAAGGATCCCCCAGTTCCAACCCCTCTGCCATGAGCAGGGACACCTCCCACTAGATCAGGCTGCCCAGAGCCTCCTCCAGCCTGGCCTTAAAGACCCCCAGGGATGGGGCCTCAACCCCCTCCCTGGGCAACCCATGCCAGGGTCTCACCACTCTCCTGGGGAAGAACTTCTTCCTCACATCCAGCCTGAATCTGCCCACTGCCAGCTTTGCCCCATTCCCCCCACTCCTGTCACTACCTGAGAGCCTAAAAAGTCCCTCCCCAGCTTTCCTGTAGCCCCCCTAAGACACTGGAAGGCCACAATAAGGTCCCCTCGGAGCCTTCTCCTCTCCAGACTGAACAGCCCCAACTCTCTCAGTCTGTCCTCACAGCAGAGCTGCTCCAGCCCTCGGATCATTCTCGTGGCCCTTCTCTGGACAGGCTCCAGCAGCTCCACATCCCTCTTGTCCTGGGGGCTCCAGAACTGGATGCAGTGCTCCAGGTGGGGCCTCACCAGAGCAGAGTAGAGGGGGAGAATCATGTGTGACCTGCTGGATCTACACCCTTGTTGGAGTAGATAATCCTATGGCAGCATCTCTGACTACAGACTGCTGCCAGCAAAAGATTTTGACTGGGAAATGATGTTGAGATTATTCACCAAGTATTTTGTGTTAGATGATTCTGCCAAACTGCAGACACGGATCTGACTCTGCTTGCTTGGTTTTGATGGGATTCTGGGGAGTCAAAGTTCTCCTTGGCTCTTTAGGACATTTAACTCTAGCTATTGTGGAAAGAAAACTCCATTTCTTTGCCAGATCTGATGTTGGCCTGTCTTTCCAACACTCCCCTCTAGCAGGGAAAGTGCAAAGATCTCCACTGTTGGACAAAATCTTTGACCACCTGATGGAACTCAAACCCACTTGCTGTCCCAAATAATGAAGTTCATCTGCCAAGACTCTCAATCACTTTTTTCCCCACAGGTTTAAATATGTGTTGGTAGATAACACTGAAGGTATCGTGAAAGACCAAACTCTCTGGTCTGACCCCATCAAAACCAGAAGAGGTGAGTCTGTGGCTTTGCTCAGGTCTTCTGAGTAGCTCTCCTTGCCTTAGGACACTATTGCTCTAGGAGCAACACCTCATCCCTTCTTAAAGTTTTAACCATTTCTTCACCCCTTCAATATTGGAGGAGCAGACCTAAAGATAGAATAATTCTCTACTGCTCTTGTGTCCTTCAGAACAATTCTCTTAGTGAAGATAAAGCTTGTACATGTGGTTTCACCTCGTGGCCTCTGGTGCTGTTGACATTTCTCAGCCATGCAGATCCTTGTCACCTGGGCTAAGCTGCTGGGGGAAGCCTGTAAACTCTAAATGCTGACACTGAGTCCTAAACATCTTTCCCATAAATTAAGGCTTTGGGTATAGGCATGGTTAGCTTGCCTCTCATAAATTACCAGCTTTCTCCTGTTTGGTGAGGTGTTCATGGTTGAAAATGGATCATAGGAAACCTCTTT